CCAATATTGAAAGAGGAAGTTATTAATTAGAAAATACCAGTATTAGTAAGTCAGTAACATATAGAGGATACATAATTTATGTTTTTTAAATAACGTAACATATAAAATCAGAATTTTGATGTTTGTTGAAAGTAAACTAAATTCACGAACAAATACTTACAATGTCGGGATAGTATTATGAGGTTTTTTTCCTGGTTTTTTCCTCATAATTTACTATGGAATCACTAACAGGAGAATTTTACTGTCATCATGTCATGTGTTTGTCTTTTTAAAGACGAATTACATGCTATGATTTTTTTCTGACGGATATTCTCAAGTTAAAGTTGATGTCAAGTAATCGAATGAACTATCTTATAAGTAAAGTCGTTCCAGGAACGCAACTCAACAATATTGGCAATATCATTTTAAAGTCGTCTACTTTAAAATGCATAATGTATGTCTGAATTGTCAATATAAATGAGTCACATAAAATTAAATTATTAGAAGAAGTTTTCACTATGTAACAAAAAACACAATTTGTTTAATTTACTGTTTGTATTTTGAGAACGATTTCCGAAGTGGAAATTGAAACATCAATAAACGTATTTTTATCTTTAATTGTGGCTTATTCCCAGTTTAATAGTAATTAATATTACAATGGGATATATTATAGTTATTCAAGAATCTCTGCTTTCAAGATAGAACACTTTAAGAAAAATGTGTAAACATTGCTTTTCCGGAAATACACTATGGTAAAGTTGAAAATTAAAAAAAACATAATATTGACATTATTTTGGAACTTGTTATAACTTTTTTTAATTTGACAAATGTTTTTTGTATCTTAAAATTTTGCCACTGACGGCATAATAATTTTGAATAGAGTTTTGAATTGTTTCGTGTTTTAAATAAATTAAATATTAACGCATAGTGGCAGCAGGTTTTCGAGCTATTCAGTTATTTGTAGTAGGATTTAATTTGTTATGAAGCAATTTCACTGCCATTTTAAAATATTGAAATGCCAATTTATTGTAAGTTAATGTAAATCAAGTATGTGGATTTATTATTGCAAAAAAATATATCACAAAGTTTTTGTTATAGAGTTCTTACTATTCAGAAATATATCCAAACAAACAGATCTTTACGACAAGTTGAACGCAAAAAGTACATTGTTCTGAAGCTATTTTCTTGTGGCATTTTAAATTAATTACTATTTAACTGGGAATAAGCCACAATTAAAGGTTAAAATACGTTAATTGACGTTTCAATTTCCACTTCAGAAATCGTTCTCAAAATTCTTTTGTATTTCAAACTAGTTCCAATAAAAATCTCGACAAAAATGGCCTCCTTTACAGAATCCCATTATTAAGAAATTTGCGTTTCGATGATAAAATTGCTCGAGAAGCGTGCCAAAAACATGACAAACCAGCTGCAATAAGGAAAGTTTTTGAGATTTTTACTGCTCAGCAGACGACATGTTGTTAAAATTTTATGACAGATGTGAGTTTCGGGTTTATTTGCCCAACAAAACAAGAAAATATAGCATAAAAGGTTTTACACCTCGCCAATAGAAGTATACGTCGGTAAACAGCCGAATGGACATTGTGAAAAAGATACTGCTAACATTGCGTTGCTTCTTCTAAAGCGTTACTATGGATTTTTTTACCGCTGTAAATATGACAACTAAACTTCTGAATGATAATTACCAGCTAACAATAAGTACAATGTCCGCGAAGTAATAAAAATGTTTTACTACTTTTAACTATGCATTTTTCAGATGAAATTGATGAAGAAACAGCGGAAAATAAGGCAGAACTCATCAGGGAATATAATATAACTAAGAGGGAGTAGACATAATTTATAAATGCAAAAATATAGAAGACAAAACTTTTGTTTTTGGAAAGACGAAGGATTTTTTTGGAAAAACTTGGTTATGATTTACTACGAGTTCAACATGACATTGTTCCTTTCTGTCTGTTCACCATTCCTAAAAATATTCGATCAGGAATTTCAGAAATATTGGACATGTATGTAAATTGTATGTTATGAAAAAAGAAAAGTTATGGGAGTAAGGTGCAAATACTGACCAAGTAAAAAAAACGTAAAACTAGTTACCGTTGCTACAAATGCATAAAATATTTGTGAAGAATGCAGCCGCCAGGATGATACTGCACAGATCAAAGACTATATAGTTGTTAAACATCTAAGTTCAGGTGAAAATATTCAGTTTGGCATTTATTTTTTTATCGAATTAACGTTTAGTTTGACTTCTAAAATATATTTAAAACTAATTTTTTTCCTATTTTAATTATTTATATACACAAATAAATAATTAAATAAATAATAATATTCTTTTTTAATTGTTTTTTTGACTCACCTGACAACATCATTAGAAATCAGATACATTATATAGCAGTACCAACAAGATATAAAAACATGATAAAATCATCAAAAACGTACCCAGGTGCCGATGTTCCTACGGACCACAATGTGTTGGTATGCAGAATGGTCATGAGAGTAAAACGGCTCGAGAAAAGATCTAATTTAAACACAATCGATATTAAAAAACTCACTAACCCAGAAACCGAAATAAAAGTACGAGAACAACTAGGAAAGAAAATAAAGGACATTAACGAGAACACGTCGGACATATTAGAGAGATGGGATAAATCGAGGGAAGCAATCCAAACAACATGCGCGACTCTATTAAAGCGTGACCGACGAAAAAAGAAAGAATGGATGTCTGATAAGATAATGGATATGATGGAGGAAAGACGTAAATTCAAGAATAAAAATGCAGAAAAATACCAGCAGATCGACAAAACCATAAGAACGAAAATTCGAGAAGCCAAAGAAAAATGGTTTTCCAACGAATGCAGGGAAATAGAACAATACGAACGAAAATACGACAGTTACAATATGCACAAAAAAATAAAATCGATGACAAACAAGAGGAAATTCAATAAGTCACCCAACAGCATAAAAGATAGCGATGGAAATCTTATCTCGGAGCCATCAACGATCTTAAAAACATGAAAATCATACATAGAAAAATTATTTGCATCTAACAGGACTGATGATCACCTATATGGAGAAGGAGAAACAGGACCTTCAATTCTTAAATGGGAGATAGAAGATGCCATTGCAGCACTAAAAAACAATAAGTCAGCAGGTCCGGACAATGTACCCTGCGAAATATTGAAGATCCTATGTAAATAGTTACAGTTCCTGTAACAGTTCCTTGATAATCTAGTGGTACTTTTTAACAACATATATAATAGCGGTAAAATCCCGGAGAACTGGCTACAGTCCACATTTATTACAATCAGATTTGTGATGACTACCGGCTTATAAGCTTGATCAATCATGTCACTAAAGCGTTCACTAAGATCATTCACAAAAGAATATATGATAAATGTACGTCAAATATTGATAGATCGCAGTTTGGTTTTCGAAAAGCACTTGGAACTAGAGAAGCAATTTTCGCTCTCCAGGTGCTTATACAACGGTGTACAGACGTTGATAAAGAGGTGTATCTGTGCTTTGTACAGATACATTTGACAATGTCAATCATGAACAATTGATAGGTATTCTGCGAAAGACAGGTATTGACGACAAGGACATTCGAATTGTGGCAAACCTATACTGGAGTCAAACAGCAAGAGCAAAAATTGGCAACGAACTCACTGAAAGCGTGCAGATCAAAAGAGGTGTCCGTCAGGGGTGTATATTATCCCCACTCCTATTCAATATGTATTCCGAGGAAATATTTAACAAATGTATGAAAAATGCAAATGAGGGCATTAAAATAAACGGCGAGTTAACGAACAATATAAGATACGCCGACGACACGGTGATCCTTGTCAGTACCATAGACGAATTACAACAAGTAATGGAAAGACTTTATTCAGTTAGTGAGGAATACGGCCTAAGCCTCAACTTCAAGAAGACAAAGTGGATCCTGATAAGCAAAAAGCAACAACCTGCTCGACAATTACGGATAAGTAACATATTAATTGACCATATAGAATCTTATGTGTACCTTGGCACAAACGTAAATGCAAAATGGGAACAGACCATAGAAATTAAGGCGAGAATAGAACGAGCTAGAGCAGCATTTAGCAATATGAAAAAGCTCCTCATAAGCAAGGATTTGTCTCTTCCCCTAAAACTACGTATAGTTAAATGCTACATTTTTCCAATCTTGCTGTATGGCGTGGAGGCCTGGACGCTGACGGAGACGCTAACGAGAAAACTATAAGCATTCGAAATGTCACCAACATAGAGGTACTCCAAAGAATCGGAAAGGAGAAAGAAATCGTGAATACAATTAAACAAAGAAAGCTTGAATATCTAGGCCACATATTGAGACACGATAAGTACCGTCTGCTACAATTGATTGTCCAGGGAAAAATAGACAGTAAGCGAGGGCCAGGCAGGAGAAGACACTCGTGGCTCCAAAATCTGCGGAATTGGTTCGAACTCACATCGGTCGAACTATTCAGAAGCGCCGCAAACAAGATCAAAATTGCCATGTTAATAGCCAACGTTCGCAACGGACAGGGCACTTGAAGAAGAAGAAGAATTGTTTTTTTCTGTTTATTAATTTGTTTATTTTTGTCATTTTGCTTATGGAGTATAATAAAACCATAAAACACACACAGTGTTAAGTTTTCAATAAACAATCATTAATATGCGTATATTTATGTATATAAAAATAATCGGTCTCGGATAATCGGATTATTGCAAACATTTAGATAAATATTTAAACATCTATTACCAGAGAAACAAACATCTATAAAAAAATTTATTTTCTCAGTGTACCATTTGTAACCACCTGCAGTTTCCTTTCTTTTATACTGGGGGATCGCGAATTTCGTTCGCCTTTATATACAATGTAACTGTAGTTATTTACTCTTATAATTGGTGCAACTTTATTCGAAGTTAATTACTGATTTTATTTTTGGTTTGTATTGTATTTTATAAACTTTATAATTTTACTCCTTTTATAATTATCATTTTATGTTATTCTTAAAAGTTTTAGTTCCATAGTATTATCTCAAAGTATTTTAAAAAAATGTGTATTGCTACAAAATTTAAATCCACATTTCAGAAAATCCCAGACGTTGAAAAATATATCTGATTCACAGTAGCAACTATAACACGCAAAACTAATTCCCAGTAACGCTACCAATCGATCTTTCTTGGGTTTTTCCAAGAGATTCTTCATTTTGTACGCGGCTGGTTATGTGAAGAACCAGGTCCTATTAAACGTTTATTTAAAAACGTACTGACACAGGGCCCGGAGAGTTTCGTTCGCGGACCCAGAGTGTAAGCTAGTTTAAGAGGTTCTTGTTGGTAACCAGTTTTCAACGAAAATTTGACGACTCACGAATGTGCGATCTTTGTTAACTGAAAGTTTGTATTGTATACTCTCTTGGATTTGGATCAATATACCTGCGTTTCTAAAGTGATTTTTATGAATAACAGGAGTATTTTTAGATCCTTCGCTTAATTGGAGGTAAGTCATTTATATAATATTTTACATATATTTTTATTTTATTGGTGTATTTGTTATTCAATGTGTTACACATATGAATTAAAACAATAACCCGAATAAGTTTTTTTATTGGAGTTATATAATTTTTAAAAACTCATGAAATTTTAAATGGAACTTTATAATTATATATAAACTACAAAATATTGTGTAGAAAAGAAAATCAAATAAATAATTATTGTCTATATTTAAAAAAAAAAACAAAATTATATGTTTAAGATTTGACACAAAAATGTGTAGATAAATATAAAAATGTGACATTTATAATTCTTTTTCATAGTTTTTGTTACATCAAATGAAACATGTAATATAGTTCTCTAACTGTATCTCATCTATAATATTTCTTTGAAGTTTGATTAAATTAGTTACATTTATTTCTCGCGAAAATTTCCTTTAATTTAGCAATAAATATTTCTTTGTCCCTTTGTCTTTTGGATTTTTAGCGTAGCGTAGCGTTTTTTGGAGTATTTTAGCGTTTGAGGCCATAAGCATTTTCAGATTTTTTGATTAATCTGTCATTTTTTTTTCTAATTTCTAAGGAACGCTTAATGTATAGTGGAGCTTAGACTATAATAAAATTATACTAATCATTATAAAGCTATATGTGCTTCGGTTTAAGCCTTAAAAAGTCCTTTTACGGTGTGAAAAGCAACTCTTAATGCATATTTTTGTATGGTTCTTTTTTGTTTTGGGAACTGTGATCGTATAAATTTGTTATCAGTTTCGAAACAATCAAATTTAAAAATACTGCTTTTAAATTTTTATTCGACAATGATACTGCTTCGTACTGTAAGGATTTCTTGCTCAGGGAATCTCTAAAAATAATACTTAATATATCAACGTTAACAGTCACTCTCAGTAATATCTGAATTGATAGCAAGCTGTCAATATTTTAAATGTTTATTTATTCGAAAGTTTTCAGGTTTCAGATTTCAAATCTGATTATTTTCAGAGAGAAGTCCAATTTGCAGTTCACGTGAAACATCCTGTATCATTCTTTATATATTAATTTAGGCTGTACTGTATTTTTATTAGTATGAATTTAATGAAACTAGGTGTAATATGTCAGGCAAAAGAAAAGTAATATATTGATTTTGATATATTTAAAGAAAAATATAATTTTAATTTATTTTTTGTGTATTTTAGACAAGGCGAAAAGCTCGTTTTTCTGTAAACTTGATCTTTTTCGATATATAAATAATTTTAAACTTTAGGAACAAAAAAACGCAAAAATACGATATCCAAGGATCAAAATCAAAAACACAACTACAAAACATTATTTTAAATTCACTACGGACCTAAATTCAAGTCCAAATATTGTTCTGTCATATCCCTTTAAGTGTTTTGGACCTATTTCATTTTAAAACATTTTTTTTTTTGTAATCGTTAATGTTGCTCTTATGACAGGACGGTTGCTCCGACTGCGACATGTATAAGTGAGAGAAACAAGATCTGGGGCACAAAAAATTTTGCTGGCTTAGAGTCTCGTTGCACAAATGTCCGCTCATCCTTCAGTACGCGCTTCATTTTCAATTAAAAAACAATAATTTAATAGTTATTTATGCACCAAGAATGTTATTTCGATGATTTCGCCGATGTTGCTCGATGGGCGAAATAATCCGGTACCATGCACTTTTCTTTATATATTTTGTATGTGCAATAAAATAAAAAGTAAAAACGTCTCAATTTTAGTTTTAACATCATGTGAAGTAAAAAATAAAATATTGTATGTATTACTGGTGCTACCGGATGATTATGCACATCCATTCTCCGGACCAGAGGCCACTGGCTGGAATATGTTGTTCTCTGGGCAACATCCTAATAATAATCTTTATAACACTTTTGGTCCATAAATAAATATTAAACCATTGTTTTTTATTTGATAAGGAAGCGCATATGGTAAAGTGGGCGCTTAAATTTGCAATAAGAATTTAAACCAGCAGAAATTTGTGCCACAGATCTTGTTTCTGTCTCTTATGCATGTCGCGGCCCGAGCGGCCGTTTTGTCATAGGCGCTTCATTAACCGTTAAAAAACAATGTTCGAAAATAAAATATACTAAAAATAGTTATGGGATATGACAGAACAAGGTTTGATCTTGAATTAAGGTCCTTGGTAAATTCAAAAATAATGTTTTTACTTGTATTTTCGAGCCTTGAAAATTATAATTTTGGGTATTTCTCAGTTTTATTATTATTATTATTATTCTTATATTTATAACTCGAATACGATCAAGTTTATAGTAAAACTACAAGAGATCTATTTTGTTTAGAATGATCGAAAAAATTTTAAAAAATTGTCCAGGCCGTGAAAATTAATTGTAAAAATTTGTTTTAAATAAATTCGAAAATCTTTTTGCCTGGGTGACCTCTTGAACCTTATTTTATGGTATGTCATGAAAGCCAAAAAATATTATGGTAATATTTTTCCGAACGATCCCCAGCTTTTGTAGAAATAACAAATCT